GCCGCCGATGCCAAGTCTCTCATGTTGCTTGGCCCGAGGTAGCCGACGCATTCACCACCGCACTTCCTCAAATCAGCTCCTCTCCTTGCACACCTTGCTGCTCTTCGTCGGTGACGCTCTCCTCCATAGTTGCCGCGGCTGCCGCCTTGCCCGATTTCCGCCAAGGGAGAACCAGGATCTGCCACATGCGCTTGCGGACATCTCCCTTCCGCTGCAGGTCCCAAATGAGGCGCTCGTCTGTTATGTGATGCAACCATATGTATTCACGTCTGTCTGCCTCCCATTATATATTCGTGCGTTGCATGCGTGGTGTGCGCGTGCGTAAGAATTTGTGTTTGGTGTGGTTTGGATTTTCTGAGTGTGTGTGAATGTTATTTGAATTGTCTGAGCAGATATTTGAGATGACTGCTCGGCTCAAGCGCTTTCCAACGAACCAAGAATCGTCGCGATCGGAGCATGGACGAGAAAGTTACAAACGAGAAAGTTCGTATGTTATTCATATTTGGTTGGGGCGACTATGGGAAGTTGCGGGGTTGACTCTATATGGGGTACAAACTTTTGGGGTTGGGAAAATTCGTCATTCTACTGTAGATGATGGCGAGTGGTTGGGAGAAGCCAAACCAGGTTGGCAAGTGTGGCCAAGTTGGGGTGAGGTGGATTGTGGAGGTTGGGAAAATGACAAGGGTCAAAGTTGGGGTTCCTATAGGGAGGGGAACTGTGTGCTTACGGGGTTTCCTTGGTTAGGAACTCCCTTGGGACCTTCCCTCTCGTCCTCCTCTTCCCTCCTACCTGGTTTCTTGCTACTCTATTTTTCTTGTGTGGTACTTGAGAACTATTGTGATTGAGTTGAGTTTTCTATAGCAGCATACCCCCTAGTGCACCGAAATTTATAACTCGAGTTATACTCCATCTTTTGATATCATTCAAATTGGGAAAGATAGTCACGGTCAAGGGCTAGAATATATTCGACATTGGCGAAATTCTAACGGTTATCTTTTCGTCGACAGCGTTTCTTGTGAAGTCGACTTTTCTGTCCAGAAATTAGGTCCAACGATTTTGAGTAAGGTTGGCCCCTTAACGTTATTGACTCCGTCCTTAATATCTAACATCGTCGTTATAGTCACGATAGCGTTCCGAGCCAATCGTCTCGATGTTCACACCTGCATCTCCCAACCGGCCGGTAGAAATCAGGTTCGCGCACAAGTCCGACACACACAGCACGTTCTTCAGCCTCACGAGCTCTTCATCCGCTCCCATGAGCTTGGCGCATCTCATTGTTGGGTGCAAATGCACATTGCACGACATCCTGCCGTCTGTTTGTACGAGTATGCGTGTGCGAATGCATTTGGGTGTGAATGGAATGTTCGTGTGTTTGTTTGCTTTCGCAATTTTCGCTTGATGCATTTGCAGGTACTCGCGCAATGTGCGCTTCGGCACAATATTGTACGCGCTATGAACAGTGCAAGAAGAAAGGACGAGCTCGCAAAGGAACCCAGGATGGAAGCTTTGCGGTTCGGTTGAATTGATTGCGCAGATTCAGTTTTATCCAACTCGAAATTGTACTGTTTTGCTTGGTTGACTATAGTGTAGCAGGGCAGGCACTATAGGGGTACAATTTAGGTGAAGGTTGGATGTTGTTTGTCTGTATCTGCATGCTACAGGGCCAGGGGAAACCAGCGGAACCAGCATTTGGCTGGTTGGGCAAAGACAAAACAGGTTATGTTTTTAGAACCTGAACCTGGTTGTTGTTTTCCCAGGTTGGAAAAACAGAACCAGAGGTTGTTTACCAACCTACCACCTGCTATTTTGTCCAGCCAGGTTGGTTCTGTTGCTTGGAATTATTTGGGATCATCCCTGGTTGTTCCCAGGTTGATTCCCAAGGTCCTTGCTAGCTAGAACTATTTAATCCTTCTCTGTTTGTACCTGAATATAGTTAAATTGATTCAAGCGAATTCCTTCCTCGCTGGAGTTTCGTTTCTGCGCTATTCGACGGCGGAATGCTACCCGAGTCAACGCTAGTATGCTAGCACTCCAACGCTAGGCAAACGCTGTCCGAGCCATAACTTCGTAATGGCAGAACTTTTCGCGAGGCAACTTGGCTCATTTCAAAGCTCTTGGAGCGAGCTTCGATATAGCGAATTCTCAGCTTAATCCGATCGACGGTCTGCACGGCACGCTGCGCGACGTTCAAGGTACTCTTGCTGTTTTGACTAAGTCCTTCTTGATCCCTCTCTCTACAAACTCGGACCCGAGGATAGGGGTTGGTCTTGTACCAGGCACCCAGGGACCCTTGGAGGTGACCCCGAGGAGAGGTTTTAAGTTTGATTAAGTCCTAATAGCTTGAGTTTATTAGGCCCTTACACCAACACTCATGACCATAACCTTGGCCATGGCGCGTGTCACAGATGTGAGTGTAGAGATAGGTGCAGGCTGAATCTCATCAAGTAGATCCGCACTAGGAGTCATGTGCCAGGAGCTTCCCGAGTCAATCACCCAATGGGTATAGGGGTGTAGGAGAACCTTGGCAGCCATGGCGGGGTCGATTGCGCCTATATTTATGAAGAAGAAAAACCTGGCCTTCCGCTCCTCAGATTTGCCGCCTTTCTCCTCATCCTTCTCCTCTCCACTAGCTCCCATGACTCCCCCACTCCTCTTGCCACCATGCTGGTTGCTTGATGAAAGCGAGGTCCAATCCTTAGGGCATTGGTAGCACTTCCTCCAACGATGTCCGTGCTTCTTGCAGTAGAAACACTCCTCCCCTTAGCCCCCGCTGCGCTCCTCTTTTGGGTTCTCATGGTTCTTGCCTTTCCACTTCTTCTTGAAGCTACTCTTTCCATCTCCAACTCCTTAGCCAGCCCCCTCCTCCGAGCGCTCCACACTCCTGTTGACGCCGTAGGTCCTCCTCAATTATGCGCGCCCGGATATAATCCACGCTCCATTGGGGTTGCTATGGGTTGAGGGTGATGGCAAGGGCAGACCACGACTCCGGCAGCCGTATCACGATCTCCACGCATTGCACGAGCTCCAGATACACCACACCACCGCCTTGGAGCTTCGTGAAGATGTCGCGCATCTCGTCCAACACGGGCTGTATCGGATCTCCATCTACGAACTTGATGTCGCGCAGCCGCCGCGCAAGTAGTACAATGTCGGTAGCGTGTATCGGTGAGTGCACATCCAGAAGCTTCCTCCTAGATTTGGGTCCACATTCTGGGTCACCCAAAAGGTCCTTGATGTGATCAAGTTGGCGTCCTCCAACCGTTTGCACCATGAGCATATACACATCCAGAAGCTTCCTCCAAGCCTTGGGTCCACATTCTGGATCACAGTACAAGGCAAAGTCAAGAGGTAAGCAAGTGAGGCAGAGTAGGCACAAGGCCTAGAGAAATGCAGAAACGCTGATGATCACCAGACCCTAGGGCCTTGGTGAAGATATCAGCAGTGTTGGCCTGTGAGGCCACGTAAGCAAGGCGAAGCTGACCACACTGCTGCAGCTCTCGAGCTGTTGAATGCATGTCATACTGAGTGCATGTCATCCTAACGTCTGCCTGAGTGCCCCTTCCCTTTCATGGTTCTCTTGGAGTTCCCAACTCCAACTATTATATACCTTAATAATTGTACTTCCTCTACCATCCTAGTGAAGCGACTGCTGGACGTTTTTACTTCGTTCTCACTCTAGGGACCATCGTAACGACTGATTGAAAATGCAGATGGTAGCTAAGGCTATGACGCATAATCCTACCGAGCAGATTTGCGTTTAGTTGAGAATTGAATTGTAGTAAGATCTCAAAGTGACGGATCCTGAGCAACAAGAGCGAGGACCATCGCAAACCAATATATCTACGCAGCTCACCTAGGTCGGTGCAGGTGTCTCTTCTGCAGCTCCGCCTTCACAAGGGCCAGTGCCTCAGTGTCAGCAGTAGCAAAGACCAAGTCATCGACGTACACGAGGATGTAGAACGACGGCAGAGACGAGTCGGTATGTACGTAGAAACATCAACGGGTCAGCAGTCGAAGGAGCAAACCCTTAGAGCCGCAAGTGTCGTCCTCAGTGTGTTGTGCCACTCGTGGGGCGCCTGGGGGAGACCGTAGACTGGCCGCCGGAGACTCCACGGGGTATGCTCAGGAAACGACCCAGTAAAGACAGGTGAGCGATGCAGCAAGATATCATTGTGAAGGCTGCACTGCAAGAAGGTTGTGTAGAAGTCAAGCGAATGGAGCTCGTAGCCACGCTGTGCTGTAACGTGCAGTAACACCCAAAGAGTGGTCATCTTCGGGGTGGGGGAGAAGGTCTAGAAGAAGTCAACTCCCTGTTGCTGACTGAAGCCTCGTGCAACGTAACGCGCCTTGAAGACAGGCGGAGAACCCAGCGGCCGCTTCACCCTGAAAATCCACATGCCATCGACTATGTTCGCCCGAGGAGGGGGGACTGCGTCGAGGTAGGTGCCTGGGGACTTCCATGATGCCACCTTTGCGTCCATGGCTGTCTGCCACTGAGAGGAGTACTAACTCGTAATTGCCTCTGCGTAAGAGCGCGGGGGCAGAATGTCTAGTGCCGTTTGTCTAGGGCAAAGCAGCATGGCTGCGAGATAAGGTAGAGCAGTCGCGAGGCACTTGAGCTCAAACTGCCTGTCTCAAGGACGTCACGGCCGAGGGCAAGCTCACCTCCGAAGTATTCGAGTCTCGCGAAGTAGTCAAGACGAGAAGAAGCAGAAAAGTCAACGAACTCAGTGACTAAGGCAGATGTAGCAACATACTTAAAAGAAGGGTTAGTGACAAGTGTGGTTAGACAACGAGTGACAGTGGGACTAGCAGCACGACGAAGGACAGACTCAGGGTAAGGCACAGGAAGAGAGGACGCTAGAGGGGACGGCAGGACAGGACACTGTGCAACAGAGGAAGAACAAGATGTCATTCTGTGTGTGCCAGGGACAGGCGGAGGGCAAACACGACGAGCCTGGCGAATAGTGCAAACAAGCGAGGCAGGACGAGACGCAGGCTCACGACGCTCTGTATCTGGGAATCAGTCTGCTAAGTGTACGGAGAAGGAGCCGGTAGTAGGGAGTCAAGCTGTAACTGTGGCTGTGATTGGTCAGGCGGAGAACACAGTAGGGGAGGAGTAAGGCCAGTGGAAGACGGAAGACTAAGAACCTTGGGAAGCGCCAAGCCAGGCAGTCGTAGCGACGAGTCCGGCTGAGGCCAGAAAAATGGTCGCTGTTGCACAGGCTGTGTAGCACCCCCAGCACTAGAACTTGAGGTACCTCCGGCTCCAGTACCTCCAGCACCAGTACCTGCAGCACCGGTACCTCTAGCTCCAGTACCTCCAGCCCTAGTACCTCCAGCTCCAACACCTCCAGCACCAGTACCTGCAGCACCGGTACCTCTAGCTCCAGTACCTCCAGCCCTAGTACCTCCAGCACCTCCAGCAACAATACCTCCAGCTCCAGCTCTTCCAGCGCCTTCTGCGCCAGCGTCAACACCCCCAAGCTCAGCACCTCTAGTGTTAGCACCCCCATAGTCAGTACCCCCAGGCTCAGAACCCCCAGTACCAGCACCTCCAGGCCCAGTACCGCGCTGGATCCCCACTCTCAAAGTTGATGCGGCGAGAGAGTCGCCTGCGAAAGTGACGGCTCAATACCCCCAGGCTCAGTACCTCTAGGCTCAACACCCCCAGTCTCGGCACCCTTAGAACCAGTACATGCACAGTTAGCACGGCGTCCAGCTACCCACTCACGCAGCTGCTGTGGCAAGAGGGTCTCCTGCGGACGCGACGGCAGCTGCTGCCCACCCCCAGGCGCAGCACCTCCAGACTTAGCACCCCCATGCTCAGTACCCCAAGAACCAGTACCACCAGTTTCAGCCCCCTCAGAGTCCACAGCAACAGGCTGCAGAGGTGACGAAGACGGCCGAGGCGGAAAGCAACGAGGGGTCTCCAAGCATGGGGACTGGCAGGAGGCTGCAGTGTTGTCAGCAGCATGCCAGAGGAAACGTTAAAGGCTCAACCAAGGGGGATGGTGTGATCTGAGACACACCTGAGGGAGCAGGACGCTGGGGGGGGTGGGGGTGAGGGTCTACCGGAGAGTAACGCGCGAAGGCGCACACGTTCGGGGTGTGCAAAGGGGCACACGCTGGGGGTGCGCTATTGGCAGAAAAACGGGCGCACAAGGGGCGCTTGGCGGGCAGAAAACCCCACGTGCGCTAGGGGCGCGCTACGGGCAGAAAAAGGCGCGCTCTAGGGGTGTTTGACGGGCAGCAACTGGGCGCAAGTTAGGGGCGCGCTACGGGCAGAAAACGGGCGCGCTCTAGGGGCGCTGTAAAAGCAGAAAACATGCGTGTGCTAGGAGCGCGCTTCGGGCACAAACGGCGCGCTCTAGGTGCACTTGACAGGCAGCAACGGGGTATATGCTAGGGGCGCGCTACGAGCAGAAAACGGGCGCGCTTTAGGGGCGTTCAACAGACAGAAAACGGGCATGTGCAAGGGGCGTGCTACGGGCAGCGGTGTTGGTGTAAGGGCCTAATAAACTCAAGCTATTAGGACTTAATCAAACTTAAAACCTCTCCTCGGGGTCACCTCCAAGGGTCCCTGGGTGCCTGGTACAAGACCAGCCCCTATCCTCGGGTCCGAGTTTGTAGAGAGAGGGATCAAGAAGGACTTAGTCAAAACAGCAAGAGTACCTTGAACGTCGCGCAGCGTGCCATGCAGACCGTCGGTCGGATTAAGCTGAGAATTCGCTATATCGAAGCTCGCTCCAAGAGCTTTAAAATGAGCCAAGTTGCCTCGCGAAAAGTTCTGCCATTACTAAGTTATGGCTCGGACAGCGTTTGCCTAGCGTTGGAGTGCTAGCATACTAGCGTTGACTCGGGTAGCATTCCGCCGTCGAATAGCGCAAAAACGAAATTCCAGCGAGGAAGGAATTCGCTTGAATCAATTTGACTATATTCAGGTACAAACAGAGAAGGATTAAATAGTTCTAGCTAGCAAGGACCTTGGGAATCAACCTGGGAACAACCAGGGATGATCCCAAATAATTCCAAGCAACAGAACCAACCTGGCTGGACAAAATAGCAGGTGGTAGGTTGGTAAACAACCTCTGGTTCTGTTTTTCCAACCTGGGAAAACAACAACCAGGTTCAGGTTCTAAAAACAGAACCTGTTTTGTCTTTGCCCAACCAGCCAAATGCTGGTTCCGCTGGTTTCCCCTGGCCTTGTAGCATGCAGATACAGACAAACAACATCCAAACTTCACCTAAATTGTACCCCTATAGTGCCTTCCCTGCTACACTATAGTTAACCAAACAAAACAGTACAATTCCGAGTTGGATAGAACTGAATCTGCGCAATCAACTCAACCGAACTGCAAAGCTTCCATCGTGGGTTCCTTTGCGAGCTCGTCCTTCCTGCTTGCACTGTTCATAGCGCATACAATGTTGTGCCAAAGCGCACATTGCGCGAGTACCTGCAAATGCATCAAGCGAAAAATGCGAAAGCAAACAAACACACGAACACACCATTCACACGCAAATGCATTCGCACACGCATACTCGTACAAACAGACGGCAGGATGTCGTGCAATGTGCATTTGCACCCAACACACTCGTACAAACAGACGGCAGGATGTCGTGCAATGTGCATTTGCACCCAACAAGCGGAACGTACGGCAGTAGGTTCAGACATCATAATGAGAGTACAGGGGTTTGATGACTAACAGAAATGACGAGTACAAGTACTAACCCTAATGGGTTGTACCCTTTATGGGATACCCCACTACAGCCTAGAAAACAAACATATGTAGTTTGACACTTTGGACAGAGTAAAGGCCATGTGGCTTCTCAATTTCCCTCTGGATTCAAGTGTGTGAAGGGACCAGAGGAGGAGAGCGTTGGCGAAGAGGAGAGGCGCCGTTTTCACTCGTTGGTGGGCAGCCTCATATGCGCGGCAGTAAACACCCGACCGGGCGTTGCCTTTGCTACCGGGAAGCTGTCTAGGGTTGTGCAATGCCCTAATGAGGAGCAGGTAGCAGCGGGAATAAGGGTGGCCAAGTATCTTGGCCAAACACCGAGAGTTGGGCTGCAATACTCGGCGGTGGCGCAAAGGCATCAAAAGGGTGCGGATGGTGTTGAACCCGAGCGTTTGTTCCTCACCGCATTCTCCGATGCTTCTTATGCATTGGAACCAGAGTATATGACAAGTGTGGGTGGCTTCGTTTTCTATGTTGGTGAAGGTCCAACAGCATGGGAAACCAATATGCAGGTGGACCAAGCTTTGAGGTCGGTAGAGTCTGATTACATGGCACTCTTCCGTGCTGTACGAGAAATTGTGTGGCAGCGGCGTTTGTTGGCTGAATTGGGGGAGGAGCAGCAAGGACCTACCCCTCTCTATTGTGACAGCCAGGGTGTCATTGCACTAGCTAAGAACCCTGTGTTGCACGGCCTCACCAAGCGCATGAGCGTGAAATGGCATTGGATGAGGAGCATGGTAGCCATGGGTGAAGTTGAGTTGCACTACGTGAAGACAACGGCGCAGCCAACTGACATAATGACCAAGAAGCTGGTGGAACAACAGCATTGGAAGTGTTGCGAGCTGGCTGGGATGGCTCTAAACTAAGAGAACCAGATCCTAAGGGCAACAATCCGAGGGGGAGTTTGTTGGTGCAACCCTATGGTTTACACCCAGCTTGTTGTCCTTATGCGTGCATGTGTGTGTGTTTATGAAATGGTATGAGGGCATGGGAAAAAATATAATTGTGTGTGAATGATGAGTCATGATGTTCAATATGTGTGTCAAGTCAATAGCAAGTTGTCGCTAGTCGCGCGTCACGTCGTCGTTTGAGTGTCGTGTTCGTTTTTCTATTTCGTCATGTGTCGAACGTTCGGCGCGTCGCAAGTGTGTGCAAGAAGCATTGAAGAACTCAAGGAGGAATAATTGATGAAGACCTAGAGCCTTGGTCTCAAGACTCGAGCAATTTAAGAGCTTGTTAAAACGGTAAACACGAATATATTAAGAACATTTACATTGCATTTTGTAGTATAGCATAGTTTTTGGTGTAGACCCTTGTAGTGTGTTATGAGTTGTACTATCAGAGTGCACAGAAGAATATTATAAAGTGGAAGTGATTACAGAATGACGAAACAATGAAGAAGGTGAGCAAATATAGGGCGGAAACAAGCTACGCGAGGACCTTGTGACGTGCGAGGGTTGGATGTGTCGCGATTGGTGCGGGGCGACTCGGAATGTGGTTCGGGCCGGAGTGTAGGCCAAACCCAAACTGACGCGAACTGTTCGGGCTGTCCTCGCTAGGAGCAGCCTCTACAGTAATGAATTCATATTCATTATATGGTGGGTGGTTTCCACACCTTTCGAGGTTGGGGACACTTTGGCACTATTCTAGCTCCCTGGAACTCGGATCTTGGAATTTGTAGAGGCTGGGAGGCATCCACCCCGTAACTCTTTCTAAAATGTGTTCTAAGACTACAGTTGCTGTCATAGTGCTGACTGTTCAAACTTATATTGCGTCATCTACTTGATAAAGTCGTGCGATTCAAAATGCCTATTCTAGGTGATATTAAGGCGCTCCAGATCCAATTGATAGTCTGTCATTTGGAGCTGTAATGAGAACGCTATAAACGTTTAAAGCCGCTGTGCAGAAATCCATATGTGCACTCTATCTTTCGTTTTAGGCACATTCAAGCCTATTGTGGCAATAACAGATACCAGGCAGCTGTTCGCGTCACTATAGTAAGTGAGTTCATCATAATTATTTCTCAATACGCCATGACAACACGATCTGCTAGCAAATGTACGTAACCAAAAACTAAAAAAACAGCTTCACATATTAGCAAACTTTCGCTGACAATGCAAGCCGTAGAATGCCATTAGTTACCAGCACCAACTCATGCTACACAAAAGCCGTGAGGTCACAGCATTTGAGTTACATTCATAATCTTATTATTTCCACGTTGGATTTTTGTTGGGTGCAAAACGTATTTTGCATGTCAACCTGTCGCCTATTCGTCGAGAAAGGTGGAATTTGAAGGCATCTGTTTTAAGGTAATTTGGGTCGTATGGAATGCGCATTTGTGTGCTTTTCATTTTGGCATTTACGATTCATGAATCGCCTTAGCGGTTCTTAGGGCGTCATATTGTTTTGCAGGATCGCGATCCCAAGCGATCCTTGCTATAGTGTTTTGTCTTTAGTGTACAGTGTTTACTATAGCGTTGCTGCACCACGACCTTGGGGGATCGCTACACCAACCACCCAACCACCCCCGACCACGCGGGATCTAAGAGCCTGCGAACTCACGCGATCAAGGTTTGAAAGTGCACCACGTGCACACCGATCCTTGTTTGCGAAAAGTTTTTGTCGCCTAACGACAAAACGAACCAAAGCGAGGTACAAAACGAACAGGTTGCGAAATCAAATTTGAAACCAATGTGTACATACGACACCTTGACTACGTCTGATTGGTGGTTGGGGATCAGGACTGCAAATTTGTGGATGGTGCATCATGGGGGGGT